AGGCATCATTTTAGAAGCAGAAAGCAGCCCTCATTTAGATACCAAACATGCTGGAGCCTTGATATTGAATTTTCTAGCTTCTGTAACTATGATAAATAAATTTCTATTATTTATAAATTACCCAATCTTTGATATTTTGTTGTAACAACACAAATGTACTAAGACAGAAATACTGAGAGTGGGGTGCTGTTGTAAAAATACCTATAAATGTAGAATCAGCTTTAGAAATGGGTAATGGGTAGAGGCTAGAAGAGTTTGGAGGAACAGGCTAGAAAAAGTTTGTATTGCTGTGAACAGACAGGTGGGGATAATTAAAGGTATATTTATTTTGAATGACCCAATGGGAGACAGGGCAATCAGTCCCAATTAACAAGCAATAGCTAAGTGTCCCTTTCCTCAGTAACTGTTGATGTCAAAGATTATTTGGTCAGCCTCCACCAATGGGCAATGGCCAAATCCTCTTGTGTGTCAGGGATATAAGTTGAGCAGACTGCCTATTCTGTGTGCACCTGCTTTGTTTTTGATTGATGTATGCCCTTCTGCATGTGGAAGTAAAAGTTCTTGCCCTGCTGACTGAGATGATTTGTCTCTAAGTGTTTGTTTCAAGTCCTGGGTGGCCAGGACCCCCTATATTTTCAACAGGGGTCAGAAGGAGAGATCTATAGGCAGAGCCTCAATCATCTTAAAGATTATTAAGTGGTTGTGGTCAAAACTTTGGTGGAAATTTGGACAGTAGGGGCCATTCTGATGAGGTCTTAGATGTAAATAGGGAATATATTATTGGAAACTAGAGGAAAAACCATTCGTACCAAAGGATTTAGCTGTGTCCTAGTATTTTATGGAAGACAGCATTTAAAAACATTGAGGATATTTGGAGGATGAATTATCTAGGGGGAGTATTCAGGGAGTTGCATGGCTTCTCTTAAATGCTTATAGTCAAATGTGAGATGAGGGAAATGATTTAAAGATGGAGTTTATAACCAAAATGGAAGCAGAATATAAAAATTTAGAAAATTTTCGGCTTGACCATATAAAGAATAAAATTTTATGTTCCAAAGATGTGGCCAAGAGACCACTTGATAAAGAAATTACTATGGATAAAAGGAAGTCAGGTGCTAATCATCAAGACAATAGAAGAATGACCCTTAAGGCATTTTGGAGATCTTTGAGCTGCCACTCCCATCACAGGCCCAGAGTGCCAGGGTCTTAAGGCAGAATACTTTGAAAAGAAGTACATATCATCTTGGAGCTCTGGACTCTTCTGCCAGGGGCCTTGTCAATTTTCTTCTTCCTGAATTTCAGTGCAGTGTTCTTTGAATGCTCCAGCTGTGGCTCATGAGGTCCCATGTGTGGCTTTGACCACCACTCTTCAAGGCATAAAGTGTCAGCTTTGACAGCATCCATGTGGTGCTAATTCTGTGGGCATACAAAGTGCAAGAGCTAAGGAGGCATAGCTATCTCTACCTACATTTCAAAGAATGACTCAAAGAACCTCAAAGTCCAGGACATAAATTGTGGGGTTGGAACTACTGCAGAGAGCCCCCACTAAGTGATGCTTAATGAATCTGTTCATTAAGGGCTGCCACCAAGATCCTAGGCCTGTAGATTATTGGAAATACTGGGGTGCCCCAAGGAATCAAAGATGTGCTTGGAAGTAGCTCAGCAAGGTAAATTTTACTTCAGCAGAAGGGTTGTTATGCTCGAATTCAGGACCCCCAAAAGACCACCAGAAACTAAGATCAATGTAAGCAGCAAAGAAGCATTTATTGCTAGCTAGCTCAGTCCTCTGCGCACACAGCAATGGTGACGCTGAGAGGCCCCGAGCCCAGGGTTTGCAGCAATTTTACATACTCTTTGGGGAAGGCAGGGACTTCACATACATCATAGCATCTCTTAGCAAATCATCACACGCTGTGGGAAAATCAAACAACAATTCTTAGCATTGATTAGCACATTCATTGGCGGGAACAAGTTGGGTAGGGGTTATTGGTTAGTACAGGAGGGGGATTGTTTTGAACTGATTGGTTTAAGCCTCGAGGGGTGTACATGCTGAACTACATGGTTTCCCAACATGTTATCAACCACCATAAACTCCTGGGAGGGTCATCTGGCATCCCAGGTATTTTTTCTGTCTCATGCTGATTGGTGGTTGCTAGGGGGTTGCTATGGGTCCTCACCTAGCCTGACTGAGTCAGGAACACCTGGCTCCAAAGGTATCTCCTGTTATTTATAGATAAACAACTCAGCAGGGTGGGTATGTGCCTAGGAGTGCTCTGTGGGTCTTTCCAAGGACAAGGGTCATGCCCCCTTCCTTGGACAGGCTTTGATTTGAGGTAGAGGCTGGTTTCTCAGGATGTGCTACAGAACAAAGTCTTGATAAGCAAGTATATGTGGAGTGGAAGTCCACCTTTTTTATCCCTAATGCAGCACTGACCCTTACTCTGATAGGAAGAGCTTGGGGTTAAAATCTACATAATTTTAAAATTAGGGAGGATAAAAAGAAGGGCTATACTTAAAATGGTAATAACTGGGTCACAAAATGGCTACTATGATTGGAGCTTTACATCCCAATTAAGGCTAAATACTATATTTTGAAAAATGGACCATCAAACTTTATATTTCTCACAAGAGCCACCAGCATGCAATGTCAACCTGGGAGAGGAATAGGTATCAAACTCCAAACCATGAGAACTGTAGCATGGGCTTTACTCAGAAAAGCCTTGGGTTGGTTCCCCTAGAGCCTTGGGAATCCAGTCCCTGCCCCAGTGTCAGGAAGGCAGGATAGAAAGACAAAGACTATTCTCAGGCTTTAAGATTTAATACTGCCAGGCATGGGGACACATGCCTGTAATTCCAGTGGCTTGGGAGGCTAAGGCAGGAGGACCATGAGTTTGAAGCCAACTTCAGCAATTTAGCAAGGATCTAAGCATCTCAGAAGACCCCTGTCTCTAAATTTAAAAAAAAAAAAGCCTGAGGATGTGGTTCAGTGGTTAAGCATCCCTGAGTTTGATCCCCTATACCAAAATAAATTAATTAATTAAATAAATTTAAGATTTAATGCTGCTTTACCTGTTGGGTTTTGGACTTACATGATACAAGTTCCCCTTTCTTCTTTACTATTGTATGGAAATGTCTGTCCTATACCTCTCCCACTATAATGTTTTGGCAGCACAAAACTTCTTTGGTTTCACAGGATCATAACTGGAGAGAAATTTGCCTGAAGATTAATAGTATCTTGAGTCTTATCCATATGATATTTAGATTACACTTTGGATTTAGTCTTTAAACTTGATCCTGGAATGTGTTAAAACTTTTGGGATTATTGACATGGAATGAATATATTTTTGGTGTGAGAATGGTATGAATTTGGGTGTCAGGGGATAAATGCTAAGGTTTGAATGTGTCCCTTACCAAAATTCAGATGTTGCCAGTGTTTTAAGAGGCAAGGCCTTTAAGAAGTGATTAGATCACTCCTCCCCCATGAAGGGATTAAGGGTCTTAATAAAATCGTGATCATGTACATTTAGTATCTTGCCATCCTACCTTCTCCCAGGTCCTTCAAAATATGTAGTCCCACTAGACAACTGAACCTTCTGGAACCTTGATGTTACACTTTCCAGCCTCCATAAGGGGAGGAAATGAATTTTCATTGTTTATCAACTACATAGTACTTGGTCTTACTGACTAAGAGGTATTCCTTCCTCTTCAATTTATTGGAAGAGTTTCAGGACTGTCATTAAACTTCTTTAAATGATTTCTAGAATTCACTCATGAAATTGTCTGGTCCTGAAGTTTTCTTTGATGGGAGGTTTTTGATTACGAGTCTGTATTCTTAATTCTTGATCCGTTCATATTTTCTATTTCTTCATGATTTAGTTTATGTAGGATATAGGATGTATGTTTCCAGGAATTTATTCATTTCTTCTAAGTTATCCAGTTTGGGGACCTAATTGTTTGTAGTAGTATCTTATGATCCTTTGTTTTTCTGTGGTATCAAGTATGAAGCCTCCTCTTTGATATATAATTTATTTATTTAATGTTTTCTCTTTTTCTTGATTCTAGTTAAGAGTTTATCAATTTTGTTTATCCTTTCAATAAACAATATTCATCACAAAAGGAATAGACTAAGCCCCTTTCCAGAAAAAAATATAAAATTACATATATATGTACATGATCAGAAAAGTGAGTTTCCTTTTTTAAATGTGAAACCCAATTTCTAACCAGGAAAATGCTTACTGGCTAAATTTTGAAAACTAATGAATCTCAAGACAAATGCATTTTCTTTTACTAAGCCTTGTGTTCTCAAAATTCTCAAATGGAAAATTGCATATCACTTAAAAACAAATATTAAGAGTCTTGATCATTTAAAAATCATACTATTTTTAACTTTTTCTAGATTGACCAGAAAAGTAATATCTTATTTTTGTTTTCAAGGTTTTATATTAATGGGTAAATTCAATACTTTTTAATAATTTGTCAGGCATTTGTATTATCTATTTATAAATTAATTTCTGATTTATACTATCTGCACATTATTTGAAATGTTATTATGCTTATTGATTTTCAGTAGTCATTTAAAAATTCATAATTTTTATCTTTTGTAGTTCCAAAATGGTTCAAATACTTTGAGATTGTCATTTGTATTTTAAATGTTCATGTTCTTTTAAAAATCCCTTTATATTAAAGTATAGCATTTTAATAAAAAGGTGCATATATTACAAGTATACAGGTCAGTAGATTTTCATGAATTCAGCACACTTCTGTAACCAGCATGCAGATAAAATAACATAATCTGACCATCATCCTACAGTCTCCACTATGTCTAATTTTAATGATTATCTCATCTCCTATTTTGATTTTGTTTTCTCACATTTCAATATATTTATCATGTAGAAATAGTACATTTAAAAAAATTTTTAGGCACTCTACAGCGGAGACACGCTGTGAATCCTCAACTCAGCTGAAGCTTCAGAGATGGTGGTTCCCCCCCCCTCTTTTTTATTGCCTCTCAGGACTCTTCAGCATCTGGAGATCTCATTAACATGTCTTTGTGTGAAGACATGTTGCTTTGTAATTATCGTCACATCAAACTCTCTGGTTATGCCTGGGTCACTGCCTGTTCTCATATCTTCTGTGATCAGCATGGCAGTGGTGAATTTAGTCGTTCACCAGCTATCTGCCCTGCCTGCAACAGTACCCTTTCTGGAAAGCTGGATATTGTCCGCACTGAACTCAGTCCTTCAGAGGAATATAAAGCTATGGTGTTGGCAGGGCTGCTACCAGAGATTGTGTTAGACATTAGCTTCCGAGCACTGGCTTTCTGGACATATCAGGTACATCAGGAACGTCTCTATCAAGAATATAATTTTAGCAAGGCTGAGGGTCATCTGAAACAGATGGAGAAAATATATACTCAGCAAATACAGAGCAAAGATATAGAATTGACCTCTATGAAAGGGGAGGTCACCTCTATGAAGAAAGTGCTAGAAGAATACAAGAAAAAGTTCAGTGACATCCCAGAGAAACTTATGGAGCATAATCGTCAGTATCAAAAGCTCCAAGGTCTCTATGATAGCCTTAGGCTACGGAATATCACTATTGCTAACCAAGAAAGTACTCTTGAACCATCTTTGGTAGCACAGTCTGGTGTTTTTGGCTTCCCATAAGGTAACAGCTCCAAGTTTCCTTTGGACAATACACCAGTTCGAAATCAGGGTGGTGGAGATGGAGATTTTCAGTTTAGACCATTTTTTGTGGGTTCTCCTACAGCACCTGAAGCCAGCAACAGCTTTTTTAGTTTTGCCTCTCAAGGCCATGAATTAGAACAGCAACAAGTCTCTAGCAGGGCCTTCAAAGTAAAAAGAATTTAGCTTATTTTATAGAATGTTTGTTTACATTCAGTGATTTCATTTATCATAGAATCTTTATTCTAGGTAAGAATTGTCAACCTCCCTGTTCTGTTAAGTCTTTGAAGTTCACTTCACATTTCAACTTATAAAAAATTCAGTGGCAGTAGGGGATTGATTTTTTTGTGTGTGTTCCTTTTTTTCTAATATTTAAAGCGTGAAAAATTCATTAATCTCAATTTCTTTGTATACTGTTGAGTTTTCATTCCTGGTGAAAAGGCCACAACATTATTATATGTTCTGTAGATCACTCTGACTTTCTGACTGAGCTGTGTGTTTATGCATTATATGTATATAAGCACCAGTGTTATATGTTTACATGTTACTTTGGGTCTTGGTATTTATGCATATATATGTATGTAATTATGTCCATTGATATTTTGCTGTATTTGTCAATATATTTACTGAATATTTTGGTTTTGGATAATGGTGGGTGATCTGTGGCTTGTTATTTGGGTATGTGTATTTATTTGTATGTATTTATGTATTTGTACACATATTAACTTGTTTAGAGAAGTATGTTAATGTTAATGAAAGAATAATTTGATGTAAGTATTTCAGTCCCTCCTTATATTTAAAAATTGATAAATTTATAAAGTTGACTTTTTAGGATTTATTTAAAAATAAAGCTTTTTATTCACAAAAAAATAAAAAAAGTTTTTAGTTGTAGATGGACAAATATCTTAATTTTGTTTATTTAGTTTTTTTTTTCTTTAATGTGATGCTGAGAATTGAACCCAGTGCCTCACGCTTGCTAGGCAAGTGCTCTACCACTAAGCCACAACCCCAGCCCTAGTACATTTGTTTTTTACAAATAAATAAATCTCACATACATTAAAGATATTCCAAGATAAATAGAACCCCAGGATAATTCTAAATGTGTTCTCACAATATAAACTGGAATTAATGAAATGACCTATTATCAAAACAGCAACAATGATATTTACATAATAATGACTTACAGATGAATACTAACTATCCTAATCCTACTTCCAAAAGAAAACCACTCATTTAAAAAGTTTATATTTACATGTAAATTCCTTGTCTGAATTTGAGTTATCTCAAGGCTGCTGCTGATTCCAGCTTTAAAACCTAAAGTATCCACTTTGAAAGGTTAGTTCAATGGTGTTGGCCCTGGGGGGGATCATTGTCTTTATTTTGAATGACACAAAAAGAGTCACTACTTTACATGTATAAACTGTGTCTGTGTTGTACTAACCACATGAGTTTGGGAAATATAAAGCTGACAACTAGCTATTTCTAATACTGAATAGATATTTTACAATTGTTAAACATTCCACATGTCCTCAAAACTAAAAGACAATTTTAATTTCATCTTCAGTATGCCAACATTGTGTATCTAAGAATTTGTTCTTGGGTTCTGTCCCAGAGAGGAAATCTCATCCTTAACCATTATGTTGACAGTCATTTAAAAGAAATGCTAATTAATATTTAACTCAGCATTTGATATGATAGGGTAAAGCTAGAAAATGGTGAATAATAACTGCATTGATAAGAAGGATTGGAGACCTGTATAAATCTGTGCAAATATCCTCATAACCCTTAATGGTTAAGGGCAATTTCATACAACAAAATAAGAAGAAATTAAATTAATAACCTTAAAAAGGTTAAATGTCAGGGCTGGGGCTGGGGCTCAGTGGTAGTGCACTTGCCTGACATGAAAGGGGCACTGGGTTTGATTTTCAGCACCACATATAAATACATAGCTTAAATAAAGGTCTATCAACAACTAAAAACAATATTTTTAAAAAAGGCTAAATGTCTTTTTAAAAAACACAGAGGAATATGAATAATCACATGCAACCTGGGGTTATGTCAATGACAAGAAGGATTATGTTGTAGTTCATATTAAATTCAAGAACATTAGACTACCAAACGTATAACCTAGTAGATTCTCTTAATATAAGCATTATAATTGTAGTTAGGCCTCTTCTTTTCCACTTTTGTTTTTCTACTCCTTATTATCCTCATCTCCTGGGACTATTCAGAGTGTTTTCTTGAAGCATATGACTTTTTCTACTTTGTGCCTCTTCATTTCATTCTTTTCTTTTTCTCCATTTTCCACTCTATCACGTTCTTTGTCACTGCTTGCATCTAGGGTATTTCTGCTTTCCCCTTTTGTTTCTGAAGATAGCTGTTGCGTAATTGCCTGGTGTCCAGCAAACCTTACTTCTGGTTTGTTTTCTATTTCACACAATAGTTGAGAAAATCTTTTCTGCTTGTTTCTTTTATTGAACTGTCTTTATATTCCTTATACAAATGAAGGTCTTTGGGACCTAAAAATATAGTTTCAAGAGGGTCAAAAATAAAATAGGCCCGGCATGGTGGTGCATGCCTGTAATCCCAGTGGCTCAGGAGGCTGGGGCAGGAGGATCACCAGTTCAAAGCCAGCCTCAGCAATGGTGAGGTGCTAAGCAACTCAGTGGGGATGTGGCTCAGTGGTCAAGTGCCACTGAGTTCAATCCCTAGTACCAAAATAAATAGATAAAGTTGAATGCTGTTTGCTGGAGGCTTCACAGAACTCCTTTGGGAGTTCATTAATCCAGGCTAGCCAGCAGAGATAACCCTGTGTTTTGGTGAAGATCAGGTTGCCTACATGTCTTCATGGGGCCATGGGGACTTCATCAGGGCAGCTTTATTTCTAGGTTGTCCTTCATTGCCGTGAAGATGCTGGAAAACCCCCTTCTCAAGGATAGGGACTACTCCCCTGTTTTGACTTCTAAGGCCAGGGATTAGTATTGTCTGTGTTTGGACTAGAGTATAATAAATAAATACATAAATAATATATATTCACTTCTTTGTATCTGGTTACTTTTTTTGTTTTGTTTTGGTGCTGGGGATTGAACCCAGGGATGCTCTATCACGGATCTACATCCCCAGCCCTTTTTTATTTTGAGACAGGGTCTCACTAAATTACTGAGGCTGGTCTTGAACTTGTGATCCTCCTGCCTCAGCCTCTCAAGTCAGTGGTATTTCAGGTGTGCACCACCATGCCTGGCTGTATCTGATTACTTTAAACACAATGTCATGTTTATGAAATTCTTGCAGGTTGTGTAGAGTTTATTTCATTCTCATTACTATATAGTTATCCATGTGTCAATGTACCACATTTTATTTATTGATTCTATTGTTGATGGACATTTGAGAAGTTTCTAGTTGAAAGTTAATTGTGTTATATGAATATTCATGTATACATCTTTTGGTATATATGTATGTATATGCCAGAGTGGTAAATTGCTGCACTATATATAATATGTATATTCTCAATTTTAGGAGAGACTGACAAAGAGTTTTTGGAAGAGATTATACTAATTTACACTCCCATCAACAGTGTATAAAATGTTTGGTTGCTTTGCATCTTAATCACTACTTACTAAATCAAACTGATGAATAATTTACCTTGTGGCTTATTTCCTTTTCATGAATTCTTTCCTAATCAGATGTACATTATGTTAATTATTTTCCTTATGTTTAAAATTTCTGAACAAAATAGATATTCTGATGTATCTCAGAGATAATTATCAAATATTTTTCTCCCAAATATTTAACATTCATTTATCCATTAGTAGGACAAAGATTACTGATGTTTTCTCTGTGTTTTTATTTTCTCAGACTTGCTCACTGTAACATTTTGAAAATTCAGTTTATTTACTTTTAGGTTTTCTTATTTAAAAGGAAAACAGAGGAAGATATAAATGACTTGCGTGTAGACTCAGATTCTTCCTTTTAACACTCACACACACACTCTCTCTCTCTCTCTCTCTCTCTCTCTCTCTCTCTATATATATATATATATATATATATATATATATATTTCACTGAGGCTGGTTCAAATTAGCATATAATTATATTTTTAAAATTTCCCACTTACCCCGAGATAATGTAGAAGTTTGTTGCTGAAACCTGTGGATATGGGTGAAGCTAATGTGGTGTACATGTAGAGTCTCAGTACCAGTATGGGACTATGGACAGGTAAGCCTCTGAAAGGGTGGCCAGGGACATACTTGTATGGGTAGAGACACCTGGGTCATTTAGGAGTAGAGGGAAATTTGGGTACATACCTTTCAGCTATTCAAGATCTTCCTTCAAAATTTACTCTTTGTTTTTTTCCTTCTATTTTCCACAGGGATAATATTAGCAGTGATATCTCACCTGAGGTCTTATAGGTGCTAGGGCTGGAAGAACTGTGAGGAGAAAGGGTAGGAAAGGGATGGGAAGGAGTGTGGAACCCCTGAAGTCCAGGTATCTATAATAGGTAGCAGTATTTTAAGCCAAGAAATAGAAGTCCGACTGTTTCCTTTCAACCTGTGGCAACTAAGGATTAGAGCTCAGAAATGGAGAATATTAAGCCAGTCTGAGAGAAACATATTTGGGGCCTGTCAGCACTGCAGCTTATCTCAGAGAGTTGGAATTCTCGGAAATCTCTCCCTCCCTTAGGATGTGATAAGGGTCACAGAGTGGTAAGTGTGGGAAGATTGGTGGTGGAGGCTGGGGTTGGAATAGTGGCATGGAGCTTATTTAGAGCAAGAATACAATGCTCAACTGGAGAAGATAGGGGCAAGGCTCTGGTAAGAAGACTCGCTTTGGAGTGCAATGTGGATACAATAGTGGGAATGCCCCAAAGCATGGTTTTTAGAATAGTTTCCACCTAGTGATTCCATGCTGGCTTCTGTGTCTTCCATGGGTCCACTATTCCCTGCCCTCACTTATTTCAGTAGACAGAAAGAAAAGAGGAAGAAGAGTAAAAAAAGATGGAGTGTATATGCTTAATGGTAAGAATACTATGTTCCAGAGGCAGAGAGAAGCAGGATGGGATACAAAGAAAGATATCTGTTCTGCCAAGGTTTTGAAGGAACAAATTGATGCAGAGATGAAGGCAAAGGGGTTGGAGTACATACAGGTGGTATTAATCACACTCAACCTCACCAACAGATGGTTCATTT